CCCCCCCCCCGCCTCCAGGCTCAGCCTCCTGCGCTACAACACCAACCTGACCCGCTACAAGAACAGCATGTTCGGCTTCTCCCAGCAGCTAAAGGCCAAGCTGGACTTCTTCAAGAGCAGCATCCAGTACGACCTGGAGAAGTACAGCGACCAGATGCATTATGGGATATGTGAGTGGGCCGCCCAGACCATGTGACCCCCCGTTTACCTCCAGGCTGTTGGTCCGGTGTGTTTTATTAGATGTTGCTAACATCGTTTAGCTCACATTTAAAAACAAAAACAAACAGTTTCCCTCTTGGGTCAAACTGGACGATGCTATTGGCTCTCTGAGGCATCGCCCCAGCCAATCACAGCCCTTATATCAGGAACTTCAACAGAAAACAACTAGCTAGCTCACAGTGGGATGTTTCATTTTTTAAAACTCCTTCTGATGGCAGCTGCTTAAAAACAGTCTTTTAGAAGCAATAAAACGCCAGATTTAAATGGCATTTAAATTCAAAACCTGTTCGATTTGAAATTTTGAAATTTTATTCTATTTGTGTTCACATTTCTTAGAAATATGAGGCGAATTTTTCAGTAAAAAGTAGATTTACATAAAATGTGTTTGGGTACTTTAAAATACATATATTAAAACATGTGCATAATATTGTGATCCATTCCGATTAGAAATGTTACAAAGGGGGTCAAAACGGAAAACATCAAAGCCAAATTTTAAAGTTTTAACTGTTTAAAAAAGCTCCTTTTTGGGGTTCAAACGGCCACAGTTTATTTACAAACTCCCAGACAGAAAAGGAGGATATTTATAATTTTTGTTGCCAATAATTGTCCAATAATGCCGAACCTGATAGAGGGAAGAAAGAAGAGCAGTGGAAAGGAGAGAGATCCTTTAGACAGAAAGAGAAAGGGAAAAAAAATAAAAAGAAGAAGAAAGAAAGACAACAAGACCAAACAACCAGCTGCTACGTCTGTAAAAACTCTGTAAAGACCCCAGATCCAGTCCGATCCCACATTAGCATCTCCTGTGTCCTAACCATTAAGTTGTTATCAGAGTAAATCCCTGTTCAACATGAGTCTGACAGCTAAGTAAGTAGATAAATAACTTTAGACTTTAACGCATGCTCTGATAGATCGGGATCGGAAGTGAAAAAAGCCCTGACTTTTGTTCTTGTTTTTGTCTGTTTGCAGCCTCTGAAAAGATGCTGAAGGCCTGGCAGGAGAACGAGGAGCGAGCGGCGGCCTTCGCCCAGGTAAGCCCCCCTAACCCTAA